TTTCTAAAATCTACTGAATTTTTAACTGGACAGTATCAAAATCCCCATAATTTGTAATGAGCAATAATAAAACTTGAGATTTTTCCAGTTTTGACTAGGATTTCCCCAAAGATGAAAAACACTTTAGGAAATTCTATCTGATTCATCTGTATATCCCTTTAAGTGCTTCATTAATAACTATTGTATTGCTAGATATAAAGTTAGATATAATAAATACCCACATTCAGACATTTTAGAAAGAAGCTATCTAATTCTGTACTGAAATGTTATCCATATTTAATTGTCTTCTGGAAATAAAACCTTGTTTTCTGAGCCCCAGAATAGGTTCTCCCTTAGTCAATATTTCTTTCTTCAAATACAAGTTATGAACAGTGTAGCCCTGTTTAACGCCAACATAAACATCTCTATACTCAAACTAATCTTCTGAAAGTCTCTCCATTTTTATCTATCATCCATTCACAATGAATATGTCCTTGATATCACAGCTTCTTATGGTCATGTTGTTTTACCTTTGCTGGAGTGTTTTACTTGCACCTTCTACATGGGCTGGTCCTTTCTCATCTTTTCCTAAGACTTTACACACAAAAGCCACTTGATATTAGTGTCTGGCTGGTTCTTATGGTCTCCCAAACACAAGGAATCAAAAAGGAATTAGGTTTCTCAGTATCTGGTTTTATATTACAGAATTAGCACGTAGCATATTTACCTCCACCTTCCTTACCTCATCTTCCTGTTCCTCTCCAATGGAAAACTAGATCATGAGATGCGAGCAGAAGGAAAATCTCATTAGCATAAGGCTAATTAAGATTAAGAAAAAGGAAGAAGTCTGGGGAATTCAGAAATAGGAAAGAGGAGAAAAATGATAAAAGTAAAACAACTAAAATGAAAATTTTAGCCAATGATAATAAAAGGGAATAAGTAAGACAGATAATAATAAGGCAATAATGTCAGACGATGACCAAGAAAAGAAGCCTGCAGGAAATAAATTCAATCTCTTGCTTAAGTTGATCACTAAACCACAGCGCACAGGACAACTGACAACTTTTAAATCCCAATCCAGGGACGTGTGGTTACCCCACCCTGGTACTTGTTATGCCAAATATTACTGCTGACTTGGGGTGCTCTTGAGTCAATTGAGAAGACCACCATCATTTCCATTCCCTGCCAAGAGACACATCACTGACTGGGGGCTGCAGGGAGAGCCAGTGGCCAAGATATCAGAGCAGCAGGCCAAGATCTGCATTAAAACAAGTCTGGTATTGAGGTTACATTAAATGAAATGGAAGAGAAATAAATATAAGGGAGGATGAGAAGAACAAACACAGCATCAGAGTGGGTTCTTTCTATCTTCAGGGAAAAGCAACATCTGGGATTATCTGATGCTGAGTGCCAGCAAATTTAAGGCTTTGTTCCTCTCTTGCAATTATTTGTTGGTAACATCATAAAAAGGAAAAATAGACCCAGAGGCTAAAACGAAGGAGAGTGGTTAAGGTGGGTATAACAATAACCATTCAAAAAAAACATACGTTTATAAGTCACAGAACAATTAACTGCACAAAGAATATTCTTAACTGACCTGTATTCATCCTAAATTCTTAAATCAAGTGAGGAAGCAGCAAATAAATATGTATACTAGCATGAGAATATTTTTGTTAAAATACGTCTGTGTAAGCACAGGAAAAGTCTTTAAATGATTCCAAAACAAATGTTGGTATTATGAGTGATTTGTTTCTTTAAAAAAAATTTTTTTAGTGTTTTCAATATAATTAAAATAAAAATGACAATATATTTTTAAAATTTTTTTACAGATTTTTATTGGGGAATTGGGGGATGGGAACAGCGCTGGGGAATTGGGAGAAGGGGAACAGACAAGTTGCTGTCCTTTTGTTCTTCAGTCTAGTTGTGGAGGACGTTGCTTCACTGGCCCAAGTTGGCACCATTATTGCGCTCTTCCCAGGCGAGGCAGATCAGTCGCCGGCTTCTGGACGGCCGCTCATGCTGGCTGGTGGCCGCTCACACTGGCTGCTGGCTACACATGGTAGCCCACGGCAACCCACTGCAGCAGGGGCTGCAGCCTACACCGTCACCGGCGACACAACAGCCCAGCTCCAGGTCCAGCTGTGGTTCAGCATTTTAGCTGCAGAGAGCAGTGTCACTGGCACTCATATGTGGGATTCGAACCAGGGCCCTCTGGCGTCCCAAGCCAGCTCTTAACCAACGCACCACTTGGCCGGCCCACAACTATCTTTTAAAACAAAAGAAAAACATCCCCTTCCAGGTCATTCAGCCTTTACCCTGAATTAAACATGTATGGAATTTACAAAGAATCCCTTTCACCTAGAACACAGCTTTGGGAGAGCTGCTCCGACCCACTGAGGAGAAGGGGCGAAGCCAAGCTGCATTATGGTGGGAAAAACACGAGCTGTGAAGACTAACGAAAATGTAGGAATCCAGCATCTGTATTCAGTAATTTGGTGACTCAGAGCAAATACCACAAAATTTTTGAGTGCCGCCTTCACTTGGCTTCAGGAGTGGAATTATTACCTACTTCAGAGGTTTGTATTGAGGATCCTTGAAAATAGCTCCCACTTATGACACCATGGATTGGTGGGGCAGGTACCAGGGAGAACTATGACCCTTTGACCAATGTTATAATTTTTATTATCTCAGGAAACAATATGTTTCGATAATGCCAGACTGTGCCACTTTCACTGACCTTCCCTTCGCCTGTGATTCCTCAGACCAGTCAGTGCTCAGCAGAGTTACTGATGCTTCCTTCTAAAGCAAATGTACCTACTACCTCCAGGAGAGAGCAGAGAAAACATCCAGCATAACAAAACAGGTAAGCAGAGGTCAGAGAACAAACCTGAGCTTACCCAAGTTCTTTGTCCTAAGAATAAATAAGCAAACCCAGTTGGGGTAGAAAACATTTCTTCTAAAGGCACATATTATAGAAGCATGACCAAATGAACAAAACAGCATGATAATCGCTGATATTGTTATAGATTCAGTTTGACATATTACACTTCAGCAGTTTCAACTGTAATTGTTACTCTTTTTTTTTTAATTTTTAAAATCTTTAAGGATGCCCACCAAAACTTTTAGTATTCATAAGTGTGCTATGAACCTGGTAAAGTTCAGAACCAGAGACAGAAAATAAATAGGTAGAGGTGTGAGGTAACTATTTGGAAAGTGCTGCGAAGCAAAATTTTATGCAAATAATGTCAATGTTCTATCTATATATGAGGCGTGATCACAAAATACGGTGAATGCTGCTGCTGAGTGCCATGCAATGGAAAGGCAGGGATCTTCAATACAGGAAGTAGCACATCCAACCTTAGTAACAGTGTGTGACAAGTTTCAACTTGTTGTTCGGTGCAGTCAGATGGGTGTGAGCTACGGTTGAGAGAAGGTGTGTTTTAAAGTGTGCATAAATCATCCTCCATCATGACAATGCTAAGTGTCACACATCGCTTCTGGTACGGCAATTCCTGTCAAATAAAACCATTATGGTGTGTCCTCATCCACCTTATTCTCCAGATCTGGCATCATGCGACTTCTGGCTCTTCCCCAAAGTCAAAATGATTCAGGACATCGAGGCAGCCACAATAGCACAACTAAAGACACTCACGAAAGGGGACTTCCAGCACTGCTTCAGAAAGTGGCAAGAACAAAGGAATAAGTGTGTTCAAATAGAGGGGGAGTATCTTGAGAGGGATTAATGGCAAT